AATTTATATCTGGTCATTTGACTATAACAATGTGATGACATTGTTTCTGAGAACTGGTTGTTAGAGGAGTCACAATTATGATACAACTTGGGTAGCTATGCATGCTTTTCCCATTTGAAACCTCCAAATTGCTATTTACAGATCTGGATTGCAATTTCATGGATATATCATTTAAGAAACATCCTATACAGGTTTCTGAAAGACAAGAAGTCTGAACACTTGTGTTATTTCTATGCATGATGTCTCCTTACAGAGTAGTTGAAGACTTAACTCCTCTAAGGATATGAATTCAGAAATGGTGTCTAACTCAATCCCACACATACCCAGTAAGTAAAAGCCCTTGAGATACACTAGTGAAACCTCTCAACTTACTATAGCCTCATCTGATTTATAATCCAAATGTATTTCTCTTGAATAACCTAAACAAGGAAAGAAACAGATTTACAGTAGAAAGTCTATCATGCACTACATTTTGAAAATACAAACCTTAGCCTTAAGAACTCTAAAACAGTTTCAGAATGATGAAGGGTCATATAAACAAACACAGATGAACTGAATGGCAAATAATAATCCTTATAGATTTATATTTATATATGAAAATAAGATTGATGAAACAATGCACTAACTGAAAAGAATTGCACAGATAAGTCAAAAAGTATAGTTTTCTTTGTTATAGCATACAAGGAAAAAGACTTCAGATAATATCATGCAGTGGACTAATTGGAAAAAGAAAGTCGGACATCTTACAAAATTCATACGGTTTAATTTGACTATGAAAGCAATGCAAGAGGAGCAGCAGAACGCTGCAAGTTTTTTGAGTCAGATCTCTAACACAGTTGACAGGCACAAGTATCAAAGAAGGATTAGATTCTATCATAGTATCACACTAATGCTATATGTAAGAAAAAAGTAGGGCATTTATACACTCAATTTGGTGTTGAAATTTTAAGTCTTTCACAGTTCAAAGTTTATTTGAATTATGACATGTAAAAATATATATCCATTGACTGATTACCAAAGCAGTCAAGTTCAATTATTGCTTTCCTTAATGAATCTGACACATCACAGTGAGGAATAAGAATAATATTTATTGTCAGTTTCTTAATTTAAGGTGAGAACTAACACATTTTAAACATTTTTATATTTCTGCCCCAACCACATTCTGACAAAAATACACTTTGTTTATGTGGACCTGCCCTTACAGATCCATGTCTTTCTTGTACTGAGGACTCCAGAGCTGGATACAAGACTCCAGGTGGGGTCTCACGAGAATGTAGTAGAGAGGGACAATCACCTCCCTTGACTTGTTGGCCACACTTCTTTGTATGTAACCCAGGATTCAGTTGGTTTTCTGGGCTGCAAGTGCACATTGCCAGCTCATGTACAGTTTTTCATCCGCCGATACTCAAGTCCCTCTCCTCAGGGCTGCTCTCAATGCCTTCATCCCCCAGCCTGTACTGGGGGTTGCCCCAAACCAGGTGCAGGCCCTTGCACTTGGCCTTGTTGAACTTCATGAGGTTTATATGGGCCCATCTCTAGAGCTTGTTCAGGTCCCTCTGGATGGCATCCTGTCCTTCAGGTGTGTCAACTGCACCGCTCAGTTGGGTGTCATTTGCAAACTTGCCAAGGGTGCACTCAAACCCATTGTCTATGACACTGATGCAGATATGAAACAGCACTGGTCCCAATTTGGACCCCTGTGGGATGCCACTTGTCATTGGTCTCTATCTGGACATTGAGCTGTTCACCACTACCCTCTGGATGCAACCATCTAGCCAATTCCTCATCCACTGAATAGTTGAGCCATCAAATACACAGCTCTCCAATTTAGAGAGAAGGTTGTTGTGGGGGACTGTGCCAAAGGCCATACAGAAGTTCAGATAAATGACATTTGTAGCTATTCCCTTGTCCACTGATGCAGTCACTCCATCATAGAAGATCACTTGGTTGATCAGGCAGGATATGCCCTTGGTGAAGCCATACTGGTCATCTTGAATCACTTTCCTGTTCTCCATGTGTCTCAGCATAGCTTCTTGGAGGTTCTGTTCCATGATCTTCCTGGGCATGGAGGTGAGGCTGACAGGTTGGTAGTCATTGGATCCACAGACTTCCCCTTTGGGCTGCCCTAAAAGTGATTTTACATTTCTGGAAGTGATAATATCCATAATGAGCCAGAAACCATTCACTCAACCCCACTACTGGACCACCCTGGATGAACAGACTGATATGTGTACTGGTTTTGGTTGGGATAGAGTTAATTTTCTTCATAGCAGCTCATATGGTGCTATGTTTTGGATTTGTGACCAAAACAGTGTTCATAATATAGGGATGTTGTAGTTATTTCTGAACAGTGTTTGTACAGCACCACAGCCTATTCTGCTTCTCACACTGCCCCACCAGTGAGTAGGTTGAGGTGGACAAGAATATGGGGGAAGGACAAGAGAAGGGGGATCAAGGATGTTCAGTGTTATGACATTTGTCTTCCCAAGTAACTGTTAACACATTATGGAATCCCGCTTTTCTGGAAATGGCTAAACATCTGCCCATCACTGAGAAGTAGTGAATGAATTCCTTATTTTGCTTTGCTTTCATGCACAGTTTTTATTTTACCTATTAAACTGTCTTTATCTCAACTATAAAAATCTGGAAAAATTCTCCTGCTATATTGCTGTTTACTGTAGTTGTTTTACTTGTACTATTGTTGGTTATTCTGAGCAAGCACTTCTTTTGAACATACTGTGGATACTGTTCTTAAGGACAATTATAGAATCATTTAGATTGGAAAAGACCTCAAAGATCATTGAGTCCAGCCATTAACCCAACACTGCCAAGTCCACCACTAAACAATGTCGTAAGTGCCACATCTACACGTCTTTTAAATACTTCCAGGGATAGTGACTCAACCACTTTCCTTGGTAGCCTGTTCCAATTCTTGACAACCCCTTTGGTGAATAATTTTTTCCTAATATCCAATCTACACCTCCCCTGGTGCAACTTCAGGTCATTTTCTCTTGTTCTAGTCCTTGTTACAAGGGACAAGAGACTGATACCCACCGTGCTACAACCTCCTTCTAGGTAGTTTTAGAGAGTTATATAGTCTCCCCTTGAGCCTCCTTTTCTGAAGGATAAACAACCCCTCAGCCACTCCTCAAAAGACTTGTGCTCTAGAACCTTCACCAGCTTCATTGACCTTCTCTGGACATGCTCCAGCACCTGTTTTGTCATGAGGGATCCGAAACTAAACACAGTACTCAAGGTGAAGCCTCACCAGTGCCGAGTATAGGGAGACAATCACTTCCCTAGTCCTGCTGGCCACACTATTTCTGATTGTGCTGGTTTTGGCTGGGGTAGTTAATTTTCTTCACAGTGGCTGGTTGGTATGGAGCTATGTTTTGGATTTGTGCTGAACATAGTGATGATAGTAGGGATGTTTTTGTTATTGCTGAGCAGTGCTTACACAGAGCCATGGTTTTTCCTGATTTTTGTACTGCCACAGTGTCAAGGAAGGGTGCATGGGAGCATGGGAGGAGACAGGTGACCCAAATTGACCAAAGGAATATTCCATACTATATGGCATCGTGCTCAGTATATAAAGTTGAGGAAGAAGGAGGAAGAGGGGAACATTTACAGTGAGGGAGTTTGTCTTCCCAAGTAACCATTACACGTGATGGGGCCCTGCTCTCCTGGAGGTGGTTGAACACCTGCCTGCCTATGGGAAGTAGTGAATGATTTACTTGCTTTGTTTGTGTGTGCTGTTTTTGCTTTCCCTATTAAACTGTCTTCATCTCAACCCACGAGTTTTCTAGCTTTCACCCTTCCAATTTTCTCCCCAATCCTACTGGTGGGGGAATGAGTGAGCAGCTGCATGGTGCTTGGCTGCCGGTTGGAGTTAAACCATGACACTCATACAAGCCAAAATGCTATTGGCCTTCTTGGTCACCTGGTCACACTGCTGGATCATATTCAGCCAACTGGTGACCAACACCCACAGGTCCTTTTCTGCTTAGCAGCTTTCCAACCACTCATCCCCAAGAGGTCTACCAGAACCTTGCTGGTTGGTATCCCAACTTGTTAATTCTCTCAGGCATTGGTGAATGTCAGAAAGGGAACTGATTGCTGGATTTGTAAATAGCATCCTGCATCTGTGAACCAAGGGTTTCCTGTGGTGGGAATGTTGGTATTGGTGGAATTGTGGGGCTGTGCACCTAAAATTTTTGTCAGATATTACTCTATTCAGGCTAGTATCTCAAACACTGACTACTCACTGCTGCCTTGGTAAAGCATGGATCAGAATTCTACATCCTCCAAAACTTTATGGGCTATGATCTGTCCCATGATCAATGACAAACCATGTGGCAGGGTCCATCCTACACTATGCAAACTTACTGTGTCAATACTGACAATTGCCATGAAAATCCTCCCATGGAGAGAGGAGGTCTATACACCCAGACTAATAGTGCTTGCAATGCATGTTGAAGTAAACCCCTCCATGCACCATGTCCACAATTATCCTGATGCCCTGCAACATTGATGTGGTTTTAACCCTTTGGTAGAATAAGGATGCATATTTCACCAGTTTATCCAGACCCTCCTTCCTTGACTGGGGTCTCAGAGCTGGAAAAAGTGGTAACCCATCTCTCTGCTACTCTGGAAAATATAGAAAATGTAACAATTGATGCCATCTAGGCACTGCAGCAAGAAGTTGTTCAAGTACCATAGACTTCTGTTCAAAACTACTAGCCTTAGAGTACTTGATGGCTACACAAGGTGACACTTGCAAATTAGTATAAACTACCTGCTATGTTTGTGTCAACCAAGACTGATGCATTGAGATTGACCTTAAGAAAACCCATGAACAACTAAAGCCCTTACACCAGGTGGCAACTGAAAATATCAATTGGGGAATTGGCGAATTGTGGTCATGGCTTACCTCTTGGTTCTCATATTTCAGGGCACCTGTCAAAATATTTTGACTGCACTTTTTTGTAATTATCTACTTTATTGTCATTATTTATGTTTTGTTTCATATCAGTAGATGGGGTTGTAGACTGTTGTAAAGCATTTTTGCAGTCATGGTCAAGCCACTCCCTGACCGGGGTTGGGACCACCAGATATAAACAGATGCTGGTTATAATCTCTTTCTTATAGCAATTGGGAAGATGCAGTTGTCTCAGTTTAATGAGACACAAGTGTTTTGTTGAGGATGAGTTATGAGGAAGACCCAAACTCCTCCCTCTAAGCAATTGTAAATCCAAAATTAAGAGGCTCCAATTGAGAAAAATGGGGAAAAAGGAAAAATAACAGCCCTTTATTAAAAGATATATGTGTATTGGTAGAACAACGAAAGAACACAAATAAAACAACCAAACAATAATCCTATACCCAAAATTAATCCCCTTAAAAAAGGCAAACAGTTCAGTTCATGCCCTTTGGTGCAATTCTAACCACAGTCAGCAGGGGGTGCTGTTGGATCGCTGAAGATGCAGAGTCTGCAGTGCTCCCTGTCAGCCAGCAGGGGGCACTGTTGGATCACTGGTGGTCGTCACGTGGGGACCCCCCAGGTGTGCTGGAGAAGTCGAAAATGTAGGTCTTCCCTCCCCCTCACCAGGAAAGGGGAAAAAGGAGGGAAAGAAAGAAAGAAAAGTTCTTCCCAACGGGAACTCACTGTCTGTGGGTGGAACGCGTGGCGTAGCTTCCCCTCTCCTTTGATGTGCACAAGAATAGTTGCCAAACAAAAAAAAAAGGGAACGGAGGAGGGAAGAAGGTGACCTCCTTCCCGAACAGTGATGAAAATCCAATCAGGTTCCAGGCTGGGTAGAAATGAGTTAGCCAGGCAGCCAGGCTGAGAACAAAATGACCTCGGAGCTCCTGCCACACAGACCTTTTCTCAGCTCAGCCAACAACGAAGTTCGTGCCGTTTCCCAGGAGAAGAGAAAAAAAAGTAAAAATGTACTCCTGAGGGCCATCAACTTGGAATGTGGTTTTGCCAGCCACCTCTTTTGTGTTAGCCCACTGTCCAAGGCACAGCCACCCTGCCCATTCAACATCCCTTTCACACAGTGGGCAGGGGGAAGGGAAAATTCCTGCTTAGTTTCCCAGAACAAGCAAAACCATGACAGCAGTAATAATGACCTTCCAGATGCCTGCACAACTGAGAGTTGGTGGAGGTGATTCTACAGTACCCATCTCATGGTGCACCAGCTTTCAACTTCTCACTGTGCAACTTATACCTTGCGGGTGTTGGAACACCAACCTCATCTAGTCAATTATATAACTAACAACTCGTCAAAATAACAACCTCATCTATAACTCCATGTCAAGTGATGATTTGAGAGAATCACGGGGTGTAAGCGACACCTTGCCTTCTGACACCCTGTCCCTTGACCAATATTAGACAGACTGCCAATACTCTGCCCTGACTCTTCTCCACATTTAAAAGACATTTGCATGATTGGTTGTTTCTGCCAGATGACCCAGACACCAAATGTCCCTAGCAGTCCACCAGAACCATGGCATTACTTATGATCCTGTGCTTGCTATTGGTGATTGGGTGAGTTACTATAGGGGGAATTGGTAATTTTTCTTACTTCCTCAATAAAGCTTTGTTTTATAATGTGTTGTCAGACCCCATTACTGGACCAGAACATCAAAGATATATGCCTTACAAAACAAAATAAAAACATTCTGATACCTGCCAAGTTAAAAGAACACAAAAATAAATGACAAAATGTATTCACTATATATGCAACTGAAATTTTCTTCTTTATAACAGTTGTACTTTTTAAGGAGATATCTGATGATCTAAAGACTGTAATGAGATTTCTTTCTTTTATGGGAAAAGTATAAATTTAAAAGCTTTCAGAACTCCTAGTCTTTCTTGAAAAAATTAATATTGAAGAAAGTTGTGAATACAATCATGACTGCCCAGGGACATCTGTTTAACTTGCGATTTCAACCCTTCTCTTAAACAATGAAATCAACGTATATACTCCGTCATGAAGAACATCAAAGTGTTTTCTTTTTTTTCATTTAACTTTTGTAAATGAATGCTAAAAACTTTCATAGAACAGTGCTGGGGAATAACTCATGTAAGTTTGATGAATAATGGGAATAGTCTTTATGAAAGAAAAAAGTCCAAATAATAAATTCCCTCCCTACTTTGTAAAACTGTATACAAAACACTGGGTACTACTGCACTTTGTCTGATTAGTTCATACATCACCACCCTTCTTACTTCTGCTATTCTTTGAAATAGCAACACAAGTAGGAAATATTAGCCAATATAAATCCTATACTTTAAGTCAATGGAATGAAGTTTACTATTTTAGGTCTGTTCTAGCAAAGAACCTGTGAATTTTGGCTTAATTCCCACTGTATTTTTATGGCTCTGCTACACAACACTAACCATGCAAATAGCTACAATAAGAACATTTCTCTATAGTCACCTATCCCACTTTTAACACAAAATAGATGGGTTCCACTGACCCTACATGGAAGAGATCAGTTTGTGTCATATTATTTGAGGATTAGCCTCTTAATCTCTGTAGAAATTCTCATTTCATTACATGCAGTTGAATACAACTACTGGTAGACATTTTGAAAACAACCAGGACTGGACAAGCCAACCTACTTTGAAAATGTCTTAAAAGGACTAACGACTTTGCGTTTTGCTGTTTAGCATGAAGTATTCAATCTATCACTATATTTTACTGATCCAAAAAATTTAATATCCAAATAAAGACGTAAAAACACACACCCTGAAGCCCTCTACAAAGTTGTGCTTTAATTAATTTGTAAATAATATTTAAAATTAGTTTTAGTGAAAGTATTTTTTGATAAAAACTGGTGATTTATGCTGATGTTTGCTTACCTCATTGTCTGACTCCACAAGCACTTGATCATATTCACTAAGAGCTACTAGGAACATGATAGATGTAACATTTTCAAAGCAATGTATCCATTTTCTTCTTTCTGATCGTTGCCCTCCTACATCCACCATTCTGCAAAATTAACAATGATCACATCAACTCCACAAATACCTTTTCAGATAAACATACAAACACATATGAAGCATTGATTTCACGAATTTAGTTGAAAACACAATTTGGTTTGTTTTTCTTAAAAAATTTTACCCTTCATATTGGAGACTAATGGAACGCGTTGTAAATAAACAGATTATCATATTTGCTTTTTATTTTGATGTGCTTTCTGAATTTGAATCTCAAAGCCCTCAGATTTCTGATATTCAAAACTCTTATGATTCTGAGCCATGATTCTAGAATGTATGCCTTGTATATTCAGCAGAAACACGTCCACAGAATGAAGTTGGTGGCCTGCCTTTCTCCCAAGAAATTACCAAACAAAATTCCAAACTTGCCATGGCTGCCTAATTTCAAGAGTATAAATAGAATACAGTCTGTATTTACTGAAGCTGTTAATAGTCAAAGTAAAACCTCAAATTTGCTGGCAGACTGTACTCACAATTTATTATGGATCTCAATGTAACTAAACATTCGGGTGTCTAACTTGTAATTGTAACTGCATAGTTATTCTTTAAGCAATTGTATTTGACCTCAAAATGAGTTGTGGGGAAAATTATTTGTAGGAATGGTATTAAATTTATAAAATGTCACTTCTGTCTAAAAATCAAATATAGAAGTGGTACCTTTACATTTTATAATTTATTATTCATAATAAATTGGATATAATAATTTTATTGAAAAATGACTTCCAGTTTTTCTACCAATAATAACTACCTTCAGAAAAAGACAAATCTGTTTGTCTCTCATCCTCCTGACATCTTTAACAACAGCTGCTAATCATATATGGACAAAAACATGAAAATAAAATGAACAACAAGTTCAAATTTTAAAAACATTGAATAATTTTTACTTTTAACCAATATCCTATACATGGTATTAGGAATGTAAAAGGAAACAAAAGAAACAAAGTGAATGGGCATTAAACTTTTTTTCTACCTGAAAATGACGCTTTGTAAGTCAAATGGATATTCAATGATCCCTGTTGTTGGGACTCGAACTCTAAGCACATCTTGCTGAGTTGGCAGATAGGCTGAATCTGCTATGCGGTCCAAGTCGTTAAGGTAACTATAGATGGGGAAAAACAACAGGAATGCAAGACAGTGATACCATAATCCCGCTGAGGAAAAGGGAAAGGAAGTATTAGGAAAAGAAATGGAATGTGGGATAGAAAGAAGTGCAAAAGAAAAAAGCACAATAATGACATAAAAGAGGGAAGGAAATATAAAGGAGTGCTCCATTCTCCCTTTCTGATAACTTGCATAGCTTTAAATAAGTTCTACAAAAGGACAGCATGATTATTATAATTTTCATATAAATTTGTTTGGTTTTCACATGTTGAATTACCAACAATTCAAAATTTTCAGTTTTTGAATTCTGATTAAAGACAAATAATATGATAAAATGTGTATGAAATGTAAGACTAATTTTATCTGATTCTATAACATATTTCTTGATAATTACTCTGCAGTGTTTACAAAGGATATATAAACATGAATCTTGCAAGTGATAGTGGACTATTAATTATCAGTTTCAAGTGATAGTGGACTATTAATTATCAGTTTCAAAACGGTAGGAGGATAAATGGCACTCTTTGTAGATAAAATAAAAAAATACCACACTGACAAATCAAAAAACTCTCCACCTGAAATTCCTGCATCTAGACTGAAACTTCTGATCAAGTTAATAAGCCTGCACTACATGAAATACATCCAGTCAATTACCAAAAAAAATCTGAAACTGTAATAAAGTTGCTTGTAAGGGTTTGTCAACTACAACACAACTCTTCTGCTATTGCTTAATGGTAGTTTTAAAGTATAAAGCAGCACTGTACTGGAGGTTTTAATTAACTTTCGTAAGAGATGCTTCAAAAAAAGACACACATTCCATGAATTCAGTGCACCAGGCATCTTGAGCTCTCCCCATAGTAGATCCCTGGGAAAACGACTGCTGCAGGAAATTAAGTTTTTGTGTATTTGATTATTTCCAAGAATGACCTAGTTGGTCAGAGTTAGCTACTGTTAAGATAATGTAAGGTTGCCCTGATTCGTTCCAGGGAAGGGTAGCAATGCACTCCTTGCGATTTATCAAATTATTAAATATCACTAAGCTTTGAATTATTTTCTTCACAGTTATTACTTAAAGTGTTCTTTTTAAAATAAATTCACACAAGGAATAATTAGATTACTTCTAGATACTCTGAATGATTTGTTTTGCAATAGTTAAAGTAAATTGTTATGAATAATGACAGATTTGAGTTCTACTTTACAGTAAAAATATGAATAATTAATTTGTCAATTCTGGAAGGGAGCCAAAATATCAAATTTTCCTCACAATGATTTTATTCATGAAAGATTAAGCTGATAGTAAATGCTGAATGTGGGAATATTGTAAATATTCAGAAAGATGTATTGAACCATATATCTCAGAAAAATTTTTATATTCAGAAATTACTGCTCTGAAAACATTTTCTCAGAACCCTGACTAGTTTCTACTAATAGAAAAAAGGGTTTGAAAATCTGGGCATTTCATCTGCCCTTAGTTGTTTTGCACAAAAACCAAAATGGATAAGCTGAGCATCAATTTGCTGGAGGGGGAATCCATGAGAAATTCATAACCACCACAGTAGGAAATCTAAAGAGATGTTGAAACACTAATTGGCCTCTTTTCCCCTCCCACCCCACCAAAAACATTGGTTTTGTTCTGTGACTTTATTTTGGAAAAAAAGAAGGGTACAAAGAAGCATTGTGGATCATTCCATGTTATAGTGGTATTCACGAAAGCAGGAGAGTTTTAAGAGAATAAATTTGTTGGTGACCCATCCATCCAATTGTTTGTTGAATTCCTTTGGAAAGCCTCAGTTGTAGTCGCCATTATGTGCACCATGAGCATAGTGGGCATACTACTAAGATATGTAGTAGTGAACATCTGACTGTTTTTCAGAAAAACAATAATATGAAGTGTCATTATTAAACAATCACATCTCATTTGTATTACTGGAAACTGATTAAGGAGTAAAGTCTCCTAGCAAACAACACTGGTGTCATTAAGTTCCAGAAGCACTAATTTATCCTTTAAAATGACATCTTTTCCTCATCCTCATTCTGTTCTGCTCAAGTTCTGCTCTTATACATTTATTAAACAGAAAACTTCTTACTCATTTCACCAGTATCAGCTTCTAGAGGCTATACAGAATCCTTACACAACCTCTTAGAGTCCTATTCCCTTCCCAAGATATATCCACTTAACAGTTTAAAGGATGTAGGGTTCATTACAGTCTCTTAAATTATACATTCAAACCCAGAATCATGGAAGCAGTGTCAAAACCAGTATCGCATAGAAAAATTCATATATTATTGTCCCAGTTTAAATGAGACAAGGGTCTTTTACTGAGGATGGATTAGGAGGAAAAGACCCAAACTTCTCTTTCCAAGCAATTATAAATCCCAAATTAAGAGGCTTCAATTGAAGGAAAACAAATTATGGAAAAGGGAAAATAACAGCCCTTTATTAAAGGTATGTGTGTATTAACAGGAACACGGAAAAAAAACCAAGTAAAATAACTAAGCAATACTCCTATACCCACCAATAATCCCCTTTAAGAACAAAACCGATAAACCGGCAAGAAGAAAATCAAACAGTTCAATTTTTTTTGCACCCTTTGATGCAGTTCCAATCACAGTCAGCAGGGGGCACCGTCGGGTCACTGGAGATGTAAAATTTGTAATGTCCTGTATCATTCACCAGGTGGCGCTGTTGGGTCACTGAAGGTGTAAAAACTTGTAGTGTCCTATTGTAGTCACCAGGTGGCGCTGTTGGATCACTGGAGGAAGCAGAACTTGTAATGTCCAGTGCCCATCACCAGACAGCACTATGGAATCCCTAGTCACCGCCCCTTGGGATGGGGAAAAAAACAAAACAAAACAGTACTCTCCAGGTACAAACCAAAAACCAAAAAAAACTCAGTTCCCCTTCCCTTCCCACACTGGGGAAGGAGAGAGAGAGAGGGACTGGGGGGGGGAAGGGGGAAGGAAAAGAAAAAAAACAGCAATAAAACAGAAAGTTCTCCCAATAGAAGAAAACTCACGAACTTCAGCTGATTAGGATTAGTGTTAAGCAGGGCCTGCAGTCAGCAACAGCTGAGAAGAGAACAGCAACAAACTCCACTCCGACAGGAAGAAAAGAAGCAAACTAGGCAGCTCTGCAGCTTACAGCAGGTCCTGGCCTCACTGGCACACACACACCAGCCACACCTCCCTTCCCCACCTCCTTCCAGCCCCACACCCCAGCTCCCCCTCAACTCTTCCCCCTTCGTTGTCAAGGAGACTAATCTCTCGGCTATTACTGGGCCAGGCCGATTCTTTTGTTCACCTAATGGGCAATATACAGAGCACACACACACACGGCAGGGGGAAGGGGAAGAAAAAATTCTTTGCTAAAATCAGAACTATGACAATTATGCATAAAATCATAAAAAAAATAAATCTTTGTTACTAACAAATCACAACCAGAATCTAGTACAACAAAAGCAATTTAGCATACATCCTGCAATTTTTGTTTTTTAATAGAATCATAGAATCATCAAGATTGGAAGAGATCTTTAAGATCATCAGGTCCAACCGTCCACCCAGTGCTACCACTGTAACCCCTAAACTACTAAACCATATCCAGATCAGACTAAACCATACCAGTGCCAGATCCAGATGCCTCTTGAACACCTCCAGGGATGGTGACGCCACCACCTCCCTGGGACACCTATTCCAATGCCTGACCACCTGAACAGTGAAAAAAATGTTTCTAATATCTAATCTGAATCTCCCCTGTCTCATCTTAAGGCCATTTTCTCCAGTCCTCTCACTGCAGGCATGGTAGAAGAGACCAGCCCCCATCTCACTACAACCTCCTTTCAGGTAGTTGTAGAGAGTGATGAGGTCCCACCTTAGCCTCCTCTTCTCGAGATTAAACATACCCAGCTCCCTCAGCTGTTCCTCATAAGACATGTTCTCTAGAGCTTTCACAAGCCTTGTTGCCCTTTGCTGGACACGCTCCAGCACCTCAATGTCCTTTTGGGACACAGAACTGAATGCAGTACTTGAGGTGGGGCCTCATCAATGCTAAGTACAGGGGGATGATCACTTCCCTAGTCCCACTGACCACACTGTTCTTGATACAGACCAAGATGCCATTGGCCTTCTTGGCCACATGGGCACACTGCTGGCTCATATCCAGTTGGCTGTCAACCAGCACCCCCAAGTCCCTTTCTGCTGAGCAGCTCTCAGGCCACTCTTCCCCTAGCCTGTAGCACTGCATGGGGTTGTTGCAACCCAAGTGCAGGACCTGGTATTTCGCCTTTTTGAACCTCATGCAGTTGTCCTAAGCCCATCAATCCAGTCTGTCAAGATCTCTCTGTAGAGCCTTCCGACCCTCGAGCAGATCACACATCCACCCAACTTAGTGCCATCTGCAAATTTACTGAGGGTGCACCTAATTCCCACATCCAGATCATCAATAAAGATGTTAAACAGGACTGGCCCCAATACTGAGCCCCGGGGAACACCACTAGCAACTGGCCACCAACTGGATTTAGCTGCACTCACCACAACTCTCTGGGCTTGGCCATCAAACCAGTTTTTTTACCCATCAAAGAGTAAACTCATCTAAACAGCAAGCAGCCAGTTTTTCTAGGAGGATGCTGTGGGAGACAGTGTTAAAGGCTTTACTGAAGTCTAGATAGACAACATTCACAGCTTTTCCCTCATCTACTAAGTGGGTCACCTGGTCATGGAAGGAGATCAGATTGGTCAAGCAGGACCTGCCTTTCATAAATCCATGTTGGCCAGGCTTGATCCCCTGGTTGTCCTGCATGTGCCATGTAATGACACTCAGGATGATCTCTTCCATAACCTTGCCCGGAACCAGCAACACTTGGTCACTACCACTTTTCCTTCTCACTAATTTAAAACTTAATAAATATATCACTGTAGTCATGAAAATAGACTAAAAGTCCTTTGTTACACAACCTTACTTTTCAATATTTTATTATTTTTATATTCCTGCAGTGGGCATATAGAAAATATTCAATGAAATGCTTAAAAATAAAAAGAGCTTTTTCCAATATACT